TCGCACTGCTCTGGCTTTTTAAAGCCTGCTTGCCTAGGTCAGGCCTGCCCCCTTCTGAGTCACACAGGGGAAGGCTGAGCCTGAGGCTAATCAGAGGCAATCAAGGGAACAATGGCAGGCTCTCAGTCCCAACTGCCACAGAAGCTGAAACTGAAACTGCTAGCACTCCCTGGAATCAGACTCAATTCACACTTCAAACTGTAAAATTCAAACAGTCAGGCACACACACACACTCACACCACAGCTTGTACTCTCACCGGGTAGCCTCTTCGGCGGTGGGGGCGCTTTGCTCTCCCTCTTCAACTCCCCTGTCTGCAGTCCCCTGTCCGCTTCGCTCCCCTGGTCGCACTGCTCTGGCTTTTTAAAGCCTGCTTGCCTAGGTCAGGCCTGCCCCCTTCTGAGTCACACAGGGGAAGGCTGAGCCTGAGGCTAATCAGAGGCAATCAAGGGAACAATGGCAGGCTCTCAGTCCCAACTGCCACAGAAGCTGAAACTGAAACTGCTAGCACTCCCTGGAATCAGACTCAATTCACACTTCAAACTGTAAAATTCAAACAGTCAGGCACACACACACACTCACACCACAGCTTGTACTCTCACCGGGTAGCCTCTTCGGCGGTGGGGGCGCTTTGCTCTCCCTCTTCAACTCCCCTGTCTGCAGTCCCCTGTCCGCTTCGCTCCCCTGGTCGCACTGCTCTGGCTTTTTAAAGCCTGCTTGCCTAGGTCAGGCCTGCCCCCTTCTGAGTCACACAGGGGAAGGCTGAGCCTGAGGCTAATCAGAGGCAATCAAGGGAACAATGGCAGGCTCTCAGTCCCAACTGCCACAGAAGCTGAAACTGAAACTGCTAGCACTCCCTGGAATCAGACTCAATTCACACTTCAAACTGTAAAATTCAAACAGTCAGGCACACACACACACTCACACCACAGCTTGTACTCTCACCGGGTAGCCTCTTCGGCGGTGGGGGCGCTTTGCTCTCCCTCTTCAACTCCCCTGTCTGCAGTCCCCTGTCCGCTTCGCTCCCCTGGTCGCACTGCTCTGGCTTTTTAAAGCCTGCTTGCCTAGGTCAGGCCTGCCCCCTTCTGAGTCACACAGGGGAAGGCTGAGCCTGAGGCTAATCAGAGGCAATCAAGGGAACAATGGCAGGCTCTCAGTCCCAACTGCCACAGAAGCTGAAACTGAAACTGCTAGCACTCCCTGGAATCAGACTCAATTCACACTTCAAACTGTAAAATTCAAACAGTCAGGCACACACACACACTCACACCACAGCTTGTACTCTCACCGGGTAGCCTCTTCGGCGGTGGGGGCGCTTTGCTCTCCCTCTTCAACTCCCCTGTCTGCAGTCCCCTGTCCGCTTCGCTCCCCTGGTCGCACTGCTCTGGCTTTTTAAAGCCTGCTTGCCTAGGTCAGGCCTGCCCCCTTCTGAGTCACACAGGGGAAGGCTGAGCCTGAGGCTAATCAGAGGCAATCAAGGGAACAATGGCAGGCTCTCAGTCCCAACTGCCACAGAAGCTGAAACTGAAACTGCTAGCACTCCCTGGAATCAGACTCAATTCACACTTCAAACTGTAAAATTCAAACAGTCAGGCACACACACACACTCACACCACAGCTTGTACTCTCACCGGGTAGCCTCTTCGGCGGTGGGGGCGCTTTGCTCTCCCTCTTCAACTCCCCTGTCTGCAGTCCCCTGTCCGCTTCGCTCCCCTGGTCGCACTGCTCTGGCTTTTTAAAGCCTGCTTGCCTAGGTCAGGCCTGCCCCCTTCTGAGTCACACAGGGGAAGGCTGAGCCTGAGGCTAATCAGAGGCAATCAAGGGAACAATGGCAGGCTCTCAGTCCCAACTGCCACAGAAGCTGAAACTGAAACTGCTAGCACTCACCTGGAATCAGACTCTCAATTCACACTTCAAACTGTAAAATTCAAACAGTCAGGCACAGGCACACACTCACACCACAGCTTGTACTCTCACCGGGTAGCCTCTTCGGCGGTGGGGTCGCTTTGCTCTCCCTCTTCAACTCCCCTATCTGCAGTCCCCTGTCCGCTTCTGTGCTAGATGTTATGCTCTTTTAATTTGTGAAGCATTGAATGCCATTGACTTTTGTTGGACTGAAAAGCACACAGCACCTTCCAGGATTAGGCACGTCAGACAACTGTATTTGTAAAGCACGTGGTTTCTTTAAGCAGCTGTGTAAGTCACTTTTCCAACTCCTTTAATGCTTCACAGAAAATATGCACCCTACCTATTTCAACAAGGATTTATTTAAGCTGCATGATAAAGTGAGGCTCTCCTTGGGATGTGGAGCTGGTTCAATGACTAAAAAAGAGGTGAAGTCATATTTGTGCTTTTCTGATTCTGGAGGAAGTTTGGAAATAAATATACAGCGCATGTGCTGAAGGGGATTTTAAAGCATCTAGGATCTTGGTTGTTGGTAACACAGAGCTTTTTAGACATGAAATGCACATGTCCTCACTCAGGGTTCTTGCAAGCTAGATAAAGCAATTTTTTAGTTACTTGAATCCTAAGAAAGTGTCTGAAAACAATTCCTCTAATGGAATGAAGCAACAAGTTTTTCATCTTATCCTCCAATGTTGTGTGTGATGTTTTTATAGAACGTTGGAAGCATGTCTCTCCTGCACACTTGCTGTGTGGTCCTGGATTGCTTTTTTGGTGATTCTCTAGTCTTTTATATTTATTTAATTATCCCTACTTTTGTGCCATGTTTCAAGCACATCTAGCACAGAAGTTAACATAAGTGCTGAATGTTTCAGCTTAAAGAGGGTGGAGAATTTCCTGTTTCTACATATCCTGGAGGAGGCCACTGAAAATTGGTTGCCACATAATGTTAAAAATTGAAGGTTACTGTGTTTATCTTAATCTGGAGAAACAAACTACAGAAAGGAACTGAGAATCGAGAGCAGGTGCTGAGCACTGATCTGTGGCATTTCCATGTGAAATCAGTCTTTAAATAGATGCTGTTTTCAGTTTCAGAAATACTTTAGAAAAGTCTCTGAGGAATTTCTAAATTCAGTCACTACTGCCTAGTTTGCAGATGAACTATCTCTGTTTTTTGGGGCAGCTGGAGGAAGCCCCTGACTTACTGAAATGCTCTGTGTGGATGGTGTACAGAAGGGTATAGAGTGAGAGAACGCCCTAAGTGAGCGTTTGGCATCTGTGGATAAATCACTTTGTCATAGCCTGTTATAGCACATGGCTCTTCAGCATCTGAATTCTGGTGCAATACAACGCTCAGAATTTTTTTTTGTTTCCTTTGCACAGCATTACTTCATAGTAAGTGGAGACAAAGTGAGGGAGGTGTTTTGTTTTTTGTTTTTTTTTGGTATAGAACCAACTTCTGATGGTGAAAGAATCAAGCTTACACACAGCTCTTATTCAGGTTTGTAAGCAGAGGTTTTGGTAGGACAGGAATTGCAATTTGTACTTGGTAGCTTATTGACTCAATCTTGGATTTTCATTCTTCATTTATAACAAGGTTCCATCTAGGGATCTTACTGTGTGTTTGTGTACACGATTAACCCATAAGACTGGGGCTCATCAGTTAACCCACATGGTTACATGCACCTTCCCCTACTGCCTTTGTATCAGAGGCAGTGTGGGGGTGGTGGCAGGAGTTGGTACATGTGGGGTGCTGGCTCCCATAAGATAACGAGCCTTGTGGATAAGGGAGAAGTGGTGGATGTCATATACCTAGACTTTAGTAAGGCATTTGATACGGTCTCGCATGATATTCTTATTGATAAACTAGGCAAATATAACTTAGATAGGGCCACGATAAGGTGGGTGCATAATTGGCTGGATAACCGTAGTCAGAGAGTTGTTGTTAACGGTTCTAAATCCTGCTGGAAAGGGATAACAAGTGGAGTTCCTCAAGGGTCTGTTTTGGGACCCGTACTGTTCAATATCTTCATCAATGATGTAGATATTGGGATAGAGAGTACACTTATTAAGTTTGCAGATGATACCAAACTGGGTGGGGTTGCAACTTCTTTGGAGGATAGGGACATAATTCAAAATGACCTTAGCAAGTTAGAGAAATGGTCAGAGGTAAACAGGATGAGGTTTAATAAAGAGAAATGCAAAGTGCTCCAGTTAGGAAGGAACAATCAGTTCCATACATACAAGATGGGAAGCGACTGTCTAGGAAGGAGCATGGCAGAAAGGGATCTAGGGGTCATAGTGGACCACAAGTTGAATATGAGTCAACAGAGTGACGCTGTTGCAAAAAAAGCAAATATGATTCTAGGTTGTATCAACAGATGTGTTGGTAAGCAAAACTCGTGAAGTCATTCTGCCGCTCTACTCTGCACTAGTTAGGCCTCAGCTGGAGTACTGTGTCCAGTTCTGGGCGCCACATTTCAAGAAAGTTGTGGAGAAATTGGAAAGGGTACAGAGAAGAGCGACAAGAATGATTAAAGGTCTAGAGAACATGACCTATGAAGCCAGGCTTCGTGAACTGGGCTTGTTTAGTTTGGAAAAAAGAAGATTAAGGGGGGACATGATAGCGGTTTTCAAATATCTAAAAGGGTGTCACAAGGAGGAAGGAGAAAATTTGTTCCTCTTGGTTTCTGAGGACAGGACGAGGAGTAATGGGCTTAAAGTGCAGCAGGGGAGGTTTAGATTGGACATTAGGAAAAAATTCCTAACTGTCAGGGTGGTCAAATATTGGAATAAATTGCCAAGGGAGGTGGTGGAATCTCCTTCTCTGGAGATATTTAAGAACAGGTTAGATAGACATCTGTCAGGGATGGTGTAGACGGAGCTTGGTCCTGCCTTGAGGGCGGGGGGCTGGACTCGATGACCTCTCGAGGTCCCTTCCAGTCCTATGATTCTATGATTCTATGGAGCTGCCTGCCCCTCAGTGCTGCCTCTCACAGAGGCGCAGTGGGGTGGGGATGGTGGAGCAGCTGGGAGAGCACCAGCTCCTGCCTGCTCCCTGTGTGTAACCGTTGAAAATTCTGTGGTTACACATTTACAAAAATAAATGTTAATATCTCTAGTTCCATAATGTCCATGTTCTGTGTGCTTGTTCCACTCTTACAAGAGGGAGGCTATATGAGCTTGTCTATATGAGCTTGGGGTTTATCAAGCACAGACACAAAAGACACGAGGTTTACAAAAATAGACCCTTCAAACATCCATAATCCTTTTAACATTAAAAGCTTAGTGATATTTTGAGGCTGTTTCCATGTCAGAATATGGGCAGTGCTGCTTCCCCTTTAAGGCCTGTTTGTGTATAAGGGTGTGGGTGCAGGGACTGCTCTGAGACAGAAACATTATTTGAATATTTATGAGCTGATGATCTGGAGGCGAATGTGACATAAAAGACAATCTTTGCTCCTTTTGGAGCTTAAAAAATTCAGTTTACAATCTCCTCTCTGCCCCGGACTGTGAAAGGAAGCATTGGAAACGGGCAAGATATTAAAGCAGAAGATGGGAGGAAGGTATTCCAGTCCACTGGATGGAAGACAGCGTAGGTACCTGAGAGGTAAGGAAATGCTTTAATTACCATTTCCAGAGTGGTGGTTCCTTTTAAAAATAAAACTATTCAATTATTTCATTGTATAAACTTAATCTAGGTGTCTGCAGGTTGCTTGACATGGGTTATAGTAGATCATAATAAATCTGTCCCGGTATAGGGATGCTGTACAAAGAGGATGGGAGAAGGTGGGTCAAATTGCATCAAGTGAACAACAGCCAGCTGAAACATACATGTCCCAAACAAGTTACTGTATGTTATGCATCTTTTGAATATAGTGGTTACTCCTGACTCTGACTTCTGTGAAGGAAAGCTTAGAAAGAATGCTTCCCATCTATTCTCAGAAATGCAACCACAAGAAAGAAAAAAAAAGTCCGAGAGCCATGTTGGGAGTGGTAGTTATAACAGCCTTCCAAAGTGTCTGAACTGATGCCTGCTTGATCAAGACCTTAAGTCTGGAAAGAAATATGGTTTTACAATGTTCTACACAATGGTCAAATCTCACGTAAACCATAGCAGCAAGGAATTCAAAAGTTGGAGTGTGGCCATCAATAAGATAGCAATACTCACATTTATGCCAAGCTATAATATGTGGTGCTGAGAATCCATGCTTGCCAGCAGACCCAATGAGCATTTTATGAACACTGGCACCAATAAAGGTATCACCTCTGACAACATTGCTCCAACTGTACATCACAACTCGGCATCATATGCGAGTATCTACTAAGGTTCCCATCCTGGTATCAGTTTGGCTTCTGTCTGCTTATGAGGACAGCAGGAGAATTTGTGAAAATAGCTTAATCGCAATCTGAGCCAACAGCTTGTTGTGTTTTCAGGACCTTTCTACACTACAAAACTACCATGTCTGAGAATCTGGTTACAGTTCAACTAAGACAAGCTTTCTTTTATAGTGTAGACAGTAACAGGAACCACATTTTTAATAATGCAGTAACTGCTGCAGCTCTATTCTGCCCAAGGTTATTTCTCTAATGCTGGAGACGATCTCGCTCAGGTGTTTGTTTTACAAACTGCGTATAGATAAATCTTTTACCAGTGGACCAGAACAAGCACCTAGGGCTGAAGCAAAGCAAGACTGTGATGATACTTGGCTCTAAAAGTACAGTATTTTGTAAGCATTCATTAAGCCTTGGTAGGCTTGTACAAGTCCCATAATTCCCTTGAAAGGTTGGTATTCTTAATACTAAGGAATTACTTTTATTATTTTACAGATGGGGAAACTGACAATCAGAGTTTAACAGGGCACAGAACCATTAACCACAGTAATGTAGGATAGGAAGAGACGAACTGGCAGGCACCTTAGGGTTTTTGGTTCCCTCTGAAAAGGAGCATCTGTTAGGCCCAGATGGGAGTATCCCATGTGATTGCCTGATTGTAGCAGGATAGGTGTTGGAGGCTGTTCTTATTTTATATTTGTGACCCTGCCTGAGCGAGTTTGAGGAGACAGGGTGTCATGGTCTAAGCTGCATTTTGGTCAGGACTCTATTGTTAATACCTGGACTCATGCAAACCGCACACAGGACCTCTAGTGACCATACCTGGACAGAACTTTCATTTTTGGTGTCTAATCCAAATGACTGCTAGTTCACTGATTACTTTTAAAAACTTCTGTCTGCTTTTGGAGGGTGAATGAAGTAAACAGCGAGAAAGAGAAAGCTGAAGTGACCAGGGTGATGTTGACCATAATGATTATTTACCTAATGTATAAACATAGATGTTGGAATGTTCCTCAAACATCAAGGGGCAAGATATATCTTTAATGCAATTCCATTAACTCCTTCCTAGATATGCAAGGGGTACCTATAGTTAGTTTGTCTGTCTTGTGGGAGTTATTCTTTCTCTGACATAGGTTTAGCCTCTGTTATTTTAAACATAGTGATCTCCATAAGGGAGGTGATGGAGGAATTGTCTTCCACAGTGGATCACTTTCCCATCTAAGCAATAGCCACCTGTGAGGCTGACAGCAGAATTCCACTGCAGATTAGCTAGCTGAAGTTTCTGTCTTAGGTTCGCCTGTCATAGGGTATGTCCACACTACAGCGTTATTTCAAAATATCTTATTTCAAAATAGTTAATTCACACACAAAATGCATTTCTAAATAGCATTTTGCGGTCATCAGGTCAGAAGTTACTTTGTGTGGCTGCTGCCTGAGGCTATCTGAGGCCTGTGCTTAAAGGGACCTCCCCGGACAGCCAGTTCTCAGCTTTCTCTGCTTGCTTGCCTACTTCGATGAGGGACCGCAAAGCATTTTGTCTCTGCATGCTCTGATTGCCCTCACTCGGGATACCATAGTACTCTGCAACATGGAGCCAGAGATGCCCCTGAGCACTCTGGTGCTTCTTGTGGACGTTTTGCCGTGAGCCAGGCTGCCATCCAGGAGGTCCATCAGGGGGCTGTCAGTATCCAGGAGGCCCTGTGGGAGAGCTTCCATGCTGAGGAGCACTAAGAGCCTCCCTGGTCTGCCCCACTGGGGGCTTGTGCCTCATTCCTCCCTCACATCCTTCCACTTACCCCTTCCTAACCCCGCTTCCTGATGTCAAATAAAATACATGTATTTTCATGAACACAAACTCTCTTTAACAAAACTGGGAGGGCGGGGAATGAAACTCTGGTGAGACTGGTGAAAGGAGGCGGGAGAGGGGAGAAGAGAGGGTGGGTGAGGGGAGGGGGAAACTTGGGAGGAGGGAGCTGGAAGGGGGAAGCAAGGGAAAGAAGAGGGAGGGGAAGCTTAGGGTTGGGGAGTCTCGCCAGACCAACTTGATTTTCATGTGAACCTGTTCCTGGGTTTGCATGTGGTTTTTGGTGGCCAGGCTGGCAGCTATCCTGCCATAGATGGCCATATTCCTCGGTCTAGTGCGGAGATCGTGGATGTTGGGGGCATCCCCCCCAAACCTGAATAAGGTTCATGATCTCCACCCTGGACTGGGAAGGTGCCCGCCTTCTCTGGGCCCTGGCAGGCTCCTAGGAGCTAGCAGACTGCTCCTGGGGAGCAGTGGAGGGGTGGCTGCCGGTGGCTTGCTGGCTCATGTTTTGGGGCCATTGGGTCGGGGCAGTGACTGCTGGTTTCTGGGCTGGCAGGCTTAGAGCTGGCACAGGCACTGTGGCCAGAGTCAACCCCTTTAAGGGCTTTGGGGAGGAGGGAGGGAGAGGTATTCTTGGTTGAGAGTTCTTGGTTGAGTGGCCACCAGGGCACCCTGGGAAGGCTAGAGGCCTCCTATTTCGATGTGTCTACACAGCACTTATTTTGAAATAGCTATTTCGAATTTGGTGTTATTCCTCGTGGAATGAGGTTTACCAGACTCAGAATAAGCGCTCTATTTTGATTTAATTTTGAAATAGTGGTTTGGCTGTGTAAACGCTGGTAAAGTTATTTCGAAATAATTTTGCTGTGTAGACATACCCATAGAGTCCTGACTCCTGTTTTTCTGTCAAGCCAGCAACCCTGGTTAGCATGGACTGTAGACTGTATACTTTGCTGCCCTCTCAGTGACTGATTTCCAGTGGAGCTGCAAGTAGCTACAATCTCTGTTCAGAAGCCATTGAGGACATCTAAAACAAAGTACAGGACTATGTAGCACTTTAAAGACTAACCAGATGGTTTATTAGATGATGAGCTTTCGTGGGCCAGACCCACTTCCTCAGATCAAATAGTGGAAGAAAATAGTCACAACCACTATTTCTTCCACTATTTGATCTGAGGAAGTGGGTCTGGCCCACGAAAGCTCATCATCTAAAAACCATCTGGTTAGTCTTTAAAGTGCTACATAGTCCTGTATTTTGTTTCAGCTACACCAGACTAACACGGCTACATTTCTATCACTATGAGGACATCTAAGTTATTTTATTTTGCTGGGAGGTGCTGAGTACCTGCCTTCCCTTTCGGAGCCTTTATCTGGTTTCTTCTGAAATTAGTTAGTTATAGTTTACTTCACAATATTAACCATAATCACAATCAACCTTGTAATAATGATGGAACCACAGGGAAAACAAAATGTAGGTTACTGTATGGCTCAGAGCCATCTTTCAGGGATCTTACAAGGGTTAGAGATCCTAATTCGAACTACCTACTCCGTGCCGCATGTAGCCGCGGGCACGGAGTTCGGACTAAGGGGGATTTAAAAATGGCGGCGCCCGGGAAAATGCAAATGAAGCCCGGGATATTTAAATCCCGGGCTTCATTTGCAACTCCGGTTGCCCTCATTTGCCTACCTAGCTCGAACTAACGAGTTAGTGTAGACATACCCTAAGGTATTATGGTTTCGCTAAACACTAGCACATCATAGATGTGTAGACTGTAATGCCATTATGATAATCTGCCCCCTTCTCTCCTTCCCCCTATAACACAGAGCATAGAACTTCCTCAAAATAATTCTTGGAGTAGATCTCTTAGAAAAAAAATTCTGACCTTGATTTACATATTGTCAGTAGGGAGACTCTACCACAATGTTAGTAAATTGTTCCAATGGTTAATTACTCTCACTGTTAGTTTTGTGCCGTATTTCATAGAATCATAGAATACTAGGACTGGAAGGGACCTTGAGAGGTCATCGAGTCCAGTCCCCTGCCATCATGGCAGGACCCAGTACTGTCTAGACCATCCCTGATAGACATTTATCTAACCTACTCTTAAATATCTCCAGAGATGGAGATTCCACAACCTCCCTAGGCAATTTTTTCCAGTGTTTAGCCACCCTGACAGTTAGGAACTTTGTCCTAATGTCCAACCTAAACCTCCCTTGCTGCAGTTTAAGCCCATTGCTTCTTGTCCTATCCTTGCAGGCCAGGAAGAATATTTTTTCTCCTTCCTCCTTGTGACACCTTTTTAGATTACCTGAAAACTGTTATCATGTTCCCCCTCAATCTTCTCTTTTCCAAACTAAACAGGCCCAATTCTTTCCGTCTTCCTTCACAGGTCTTGTTCTCTAGACCTTTCATCATTCTTGTTGCTCTCCTCTGGACCTTCTCCAATTTCTCCACATCTTTCTTGAAA